CTAATAATCCACCTGTACGTATACCTACGCGAATATTCCATCCCTTGATCTCGTCGATCTTTCGCAATATCCCCGCTTTCCAAATCCAATCCGTTTGATCTTGAAACAAGTTACAAGGATCCTTGACGATTCTTTCAAAAGTCGTGATTAAAAATTCGATGACATTTGTTTACTATTTCAGTATAGCATCCTTCCTCCCTTCCATTTACAAAAAAATTAATTAAAGCCCTCCCGTCAGCGTCACCACCACTACCCAAGCCACTGGTTAATTTTACATGTGCACGCCTCATTATCTTAGCTTCATTAGGCAACCCAGTTGCTGGCCCGCTGGGGCATTATATGTAAGTGTACTCAAAAGACATGCGATCGCTAGCTTGTACGTTTATGCGTGGAGATGAAGCAAAAACGTATTTGGCCGCGATGGTGGTGGATTCGTCCTCTGAGCCCCAACAGTAATCCCAATAAGTTATTGTTCTCCAGTTCTCTTTCTGTGATACATACTAGGGTGAGATCAAACATCGTTTTCTCAATCATTCAGTGTATTTTCGCTATAAAAAACGTGCTTTTCAGTAAACAATGAATATTTGACAAGTGCTTGATACCGGAAGATGCATACGGACGAGATTAGTTAATAATTTTTGTTCTTATGAGAATTCACTCGAATTCATGAAAAAAAAAATTTCATTGTATCCTTCAAGTTCAGGATAGTATAAGAATCTTGACGGTCTCAGAAGGGAAATTTTCATTTTAACTCCGGGCGCAACGGGTGAAATCGCCCGAAATAAATTAGACCGAGCTCTCCACTGCAGTGAGAAGTAGGGCCTCCGAATAAGAAGCGATAAGAATTAGTGGCACGAATGCCATGCGAAGGTAAGAAAGGGAAGGGGCGAGAAAATAAAAGCAACAAGCTCTAAGAAGAATTACTTGCACAGTGGCACACAGAGACAGAGAAAAACGATCAGTGCCTCAGCGGCGGGCAGAGAAAAGGGTTTGGGTAGAACAAGGCAGGGCTCTCCACTGCTGGCGGCTCTCACGAAACCTCGGGAGGCTCTCGGGGGCCGCGCGCGGCTAAAACGCAGCTCCTTCGCCCTCCCGAGGGAGGGGAAGAGAGCGCAGGAGAGGGCCGAAGGAGGGTGCTGTGCTAGGGACTACCATTATCCTAGTAGGGCGGATCAATACAATCGCTAATCCGGTGCATTGTGAGGTGAGCCGTGCTGCAGCGGCGTCGGCAGGCGTGGCGCTATAGCCCTCACCCATGGACTCTGTCCTGCTTCTTTTCTTCTTTATTATATTATACATCTCTTTATATTTTTCTTATATCTGCGTGACGCCCTTCTTCGCTATTTTCATCCCGTTCTTCTATTTAATTGCTTTTTTTTTTTGCTATCGTTATTTTCATTTTATTCCACTTTTTTGCCGATGGTTCCTTTGCTCTGCTTATTCTTCGAATTTGAATATCTTTCCCTTTGGATTATTTTTAGCATTGTAGAGTGGGTCCAAAGTGTACCTTTATAGTCCAGCCGTACCTCATTTTTTCTGTCTGGAAGAATCGGGAATAATAGCCACCATACTGAGCTTATTAAATTCTCAGTACTTCAATAATTTGCCTTTTTATTGTGCATGAGAAGTTTTTATTTTGTTTTGTTTTTTTTTTCATGTGAAAAATTTATTAATTAAAGTAAATTGCGTTTACTTCTCTATTTATAAATTAATTGCAACAATGTATCATATTAAAAACTTTTTAAAAAGACCAGAAACGTCGAGTTTGATTAAAGTTACGCAGGTAAAGAAGTGTGTTTATTTGAAAAAAGTTACTTATACCTCCATTTTTGGAACTGATAAAAATATTTCACTGTTGCTGTAATTTTAAATAAAATACAAAAAATGCACTCGATAAGCAATTTATATATTGCTGCAGCGACAGAGACGGTCGCACTATTTACTCAAACTATCGATCAAACAAAAGACAACTATAGAAAAACAAGTGTGCCAATCCGAAACTCCCAAAAACAAAAGCTTGTAAGCGTGTAAATCCAACAACGACGTGGAGCACCCGTTCATCCCCGTTTTTTCCCAAAAATATACCCAATCCCTTTTGTATAGCCCCCCGAAATCTCTTGACCCACGAAACTCCAACCACAGAGTGAGAAAGGGAGAAGCAGCGTTAGATTTCTAAATTCACAGTTTCCGCTTTAGCTCGTTCAGTTGTTGACAAAAAGAAAAGCTACCACGCTCAGTATAGCAAGACAGAAAGAGATGCAGAGGAAAAAAAAAAGAAAATTATTATTTTTTTTTAAATTTATAAACATAAGAAAAAATCCGCGGAAATATAATAAATCAGATGTAGTGCTCTTTTCTTCAGCCTATTAAACATTTTTATTCCTTTTCACGAAAATCTTTGGAAAACGTTTCAATTCTTTCAAAACTACGGGGCTGCACCCCCTGCACCCTTTGAGCACCAACCAGCAGAATGTGATCTAATGTTTAAATTTTTTAATGTTTTAAGTATGATTCAATAATTTTTGTGTTTATTTCATCAAAAATTCAAATAATTATTATCACTACTTAAGTAGCACATCCTTTTAAATGTTCCAGCTATGAACAAACCATGTGATCAGCCAAGACCAATCAAATATCGAATGAACAGGCTTTTCATCAAGTAACCCATCAATCCTTTCAAAATTATTTTAGAATGATGGAAATTTTGCTTCGAAACAATGGAAATAAATTTTCTGTGAAGCGAAACTGTTTGCTAATACGTAAGTAAGCTTTTTTCAGAAATTAACAGCGATTGGCTCATAAGCTCGCCTTTTTATCGTAAACAAATCGATTGACTAAAAAAAAATTAATAATTGTTAAATCAATCTTACGGATCGATAGTTTTCTGAATTTCATGGTAAAATAATAGTCTTTAGTCATTAATGTCATAGCCTTTTTTAGAGGCTCTGGAGTTTATCCTTAGAGCAATTTGTAATCCTGACTTTTGGTGGAAGCTTTGAAATTATTGAAAAAATCACTGAAAAGATTTTCCTCTTAGAATAAATCAAACACCCTTAAAAAAAATTGATTACCGCTCTGTATATAGTTTAAGATTTAAAATTTGCTCTTGTAAGCCTGAAAGTAGAGAAAAAGCTAAAGAACTTGTACCACGTCCAGCTTCATATTATATGTATTCAAGAATTTACCCCTATCAAAGGCACGCACCTTGAAAAAAAACTTTTTTCTCTTGAGTTGAACGTCTGGAATCGCTTAATCCAATTCACTACGACGTGCTATAGGTGTTGCGCAGTTTCCAGGAGCCTAGCAACCCCTGCGAACTAACTCGTGTTTATTCCTGCGAACAACCGAAAACTGTGTTACTGGAATAGGTATACAGGGAGAAAGAGAGTTTATCGGTGAGAGGGAGATGAACTGCGCTCTGGGTCAGGACGAGAGAGTGGAAAGAGAAAGGCAATCCCTTTATAATGACACGCCCGAGCGAGAAACGATTCCTGCGTCTTGAAATGGATGCGCCAACTCCCCCTTTTTTCTTTACGCGACGCGATGTTTATGTGGGTCGTTGTAAAAAAAGCTCTCGCGAGCAACTTTGATGATTCTTGAATGGTTGGACACGAATTTCGAAGGAAAGGGAGCAGTTCGAACTTTTAAAAGGTACACCGGTTACGCGATTGTTTAAAATAAACACATTTTTTGAATGTTTGCGTTTTTTACTTTTAATTTTAAATATTAAATATGTTTAGCTTTGAATCTACAGAATATCTTTTAAAAAGAAGACAAAGTGTTAATCATTTTCAAATCTGATTGATGATTAAATGTAAATTTCTATGAGTCGGGTTTCATTACTGACAATAAACAAGTATAAATATATCGTACGTAAGTGCACTCATGTAAGGTCCACGTAAACCCACGTTAACTCAAAGGAAGAGTTACGTGGAGTTGGAGAACAAGTGTCTCATCTCTTGATGGATGGAAACTAAGATGATTGGAACGATACAAATAAAATATTGTGTCACTTTTGTACGCCACTCATCAACAATGGAATCGGCAATTTTATTACTACCTAATATAAGTCAATGCAACTAAACAGGATCAAGGTCAGCAGTATTAAATACAAAGTCTACATGTCTTAATAAATAACAAAAGATGCGTGCACAATTCATACAGATTTCTCACACAGATACTGGTGCTGTACTTTTTTAGGGTAGTCTTTATAAGAGGTACCTTTTTCCTCTTAGACGCGTATGAATATAAATATATAACAGTAATCAGAGATTATTCGATATTGTAAGCTATACTAAAATTTTTTTTTAATTTCTAGTAAAAACTCTATTTTTTGTCACGGGGTTCTATCCCCTGGATCCACGCAACTATTATTGCAAAATATTATGAAAATAAATTTGATGAAAGTAAGTATACAAAACGGTTTGAATAACAGCAAACGAATCATTTTAAGTACTGATAAAATAATGGTCTTTTAAAAGAAGTTATAGATTTTTTTTATTATTCACGAAGGATCAATCATATAATATGCATTCACGGAAATGGATTTGTTCCAAATATCCTTTTAGCGACGTCAATGAAATCACATATTTAATTAATCTAACCGTGGAATTCATAATATATATATATAAATTTTTTTTTTTTAATAATTAACAATACTGCAAATAATTCTATACTAAGTAGTGACATCCAGGAAACTTAAAGAAAAGGTATACATAAAGATGATACTGATTTCTACTCTACCATCTATAGGTAGTCCATCTTTGATCGGCGCTGGAAATTTCCACACAATCGATTGTACATACCTGAAATTTTATAAAAATACGAAAGCTGAACAGTTTAAATAACGATACATGTTTTTTTTTTATTCGCATCGTGTGTCAGGAATATAAAAATATTTCATATATGTCAAGTCATTAGGCAGCCTGACCAGGCCCCAGGGTTTGGTTATGTGATGGTCTACATTTGCGAGATATCGAATGATCGAACTTATTGTTTCACTTGACGTCTTTGCGTTTGTGTAACTTGTGACAGTTATAACCTACAGTACAGATAAAGAATTTTATGGTTTCTCTCTTAATGTACAAAAGTTAAACATCAATTTTTTTTTAAGTTTAATAACAGTTTGGTGAATACTTATTCAGTCAATTGGTTAATCAAGGTGTTACACCATGAAATAGCCGTAGTGGTGAATATACTTTCATAACCAAATTTTGAAGTCTAAAATAATTTTTTGATATTTTAGTTCTTGTTTAACCAATCCCAATTATTATCATGAAGCAGATTATGCCACGGTGGGGATTAGAAGTGGCAAGAATGTTTTTGTATATGATGTTTCCAGTTGGATGTTTTCATTACTTTAATAACCCCCAAATTTTTGAAGATTCTGTTGTCAAAATTAGACAACAAAATCAAACACCAATCCCAGTAGAGAAACAACAAGAGATTAGAGATTCAATTAAGGATTTACAGAACCATATATATTTGAAGCACATTCAAAATTTGGAAGAAAAGGAAAAAATGAAACAAGGCTCTTTAGCAATGTAAAACTTCTGTGTTAGATGGAAGATCAAAAATCATTAATTCTGTTTTCCTAAATGATTTATTTTTTGTGTGCAATTTTCATGTTGTTATGGACAAAAACAATTCTGGATTAAACAAAATTAAAATTAAAAACTAACCTTCCTTTAAGTGTTAAATACCATGTTGAAACTTTTGTAAATAGCAAATAAATTAAAGGTTTTTATTTGAAACTAATTTAATTCGGTCTTTTCTGTATAGAATAAAACCTAGTCATCCTCTATTGAAATGCAAAAAAAAAAAAAATTTTTTTTTATTTCACCTTTTTTTGTATAACTACTCCATGGTAATTTTATATGTTTATTGATCCTGCTTACAGTGCATTGTACTTTTTTTTTACCGACACTTAATATTTGACAGATTAAGCTATATATAATTATATCCATAGGTATACTACACGGACTACACCTATACTCATATACCTCTATATATACCATCATATAGTTCATTGGCTTATCTATTGCAACGCTGCTGTCTGCTCTGTCTTGCTTCTGCTCACTTCACGCGTGGCGTGGCAAATGATGAGTGTGTGCAATGTGTATGTGTATGTACGATGGTAATTTAGTATTTTCTGTTGTAAGTAGATTGGATATGAGAAATTGAGAAGTGGATCTGTGGGGTTGCCATTAATTGAGACAGCTGATTGAGTTAATAATTAATGAGTATATATAGCAAAACAGAGTGAGAGAAAAAGTGAACTGAAGTTTCATCGCTTGGGAAGAGACATATCCGTTGAATGTTTAAACATTTTTTCTACTCTTATGTTGTATCGTGATAATTGATCAATGGTAAAATTGAGATTTATCATAAACATATCGACTGAACCAAAGACATTTTAGTCAACGTTGAGTATCTTGAAAATCAAAGTAGTTAAAGTGGACATTCCATGTAATTAGTACTAAACAGTTTGATCGACAAAAATGGCTGGTTGTTATGATGATTTGTCTTGGTCAGGTACGAAATGAATTTGTTATTGTAGAAATTATAATTGCATCAGTAAAATATTCGTTGCAAAATAAATATAAAGCAAAAGTAAAGGTTATGCATGATTTGTACTTACAGAAGCTCGCGATCTTCTAAGGAATTGGCGAGAAAACTCTGAACGTCGAAGTAAAGATGTTGTAGAAATTTGGGAGTCGATTTTAATGCCTCACATTGACAGTCTAGGAAATGAAAGTAAGCTTATTTTTGACGTACGTCATTAGGAAAATTAATTGAGTATTTTTAGTGAATGACATTTGTTTTGTTTACAGAGTATTTGGTTCTGGAGCAAGTATGTTTTGCTGCCCTGGACTGCTGCAGACTTCCTCTAGCTGAATACTGCTTGAAGTTTTTGTTGAAAGAGTTCCCAGAAAGCCTACGTGTTCACAAGTACCATGCCATGCATTTAGAAGCATTAGAAATGTAATTATTTGTTATTTTAATACAACACATTTAATTAATATAAAATACTTAAATGTTGTATTGCATCCAAGGTATGATAAAGCTTTGGAGGTTTTGGATTCTATTATCAAGAAAGACGAAACTAATTTAGCTCCAAGAAAAAGGAAAGTAGCTATTTTCAAAGCCAAAGGTCAAATACCTGAAGCTATCAAGGAATTGACGGAGTACCTGAAAAAGTGATGAGCACAGATGATTCAGATTAAATTTGATTTTAAAAATCTCTTGATAAATTTATTGCTGTTCCTCTTTTTTTAGATTCATGAGTGATCAAGAAGCTTGGCACGAACTCTGCGACCTATATTTGCAGGAGCAGGAGTATGGCAAGGCTGCCATTTGCATCGAAGAGCTCATATTACACAATCCCCACAATCATTTACTTCACCAGCGTTATGCAGAAATCAAATATTCTCAGGTAAATTCGTATTTAGACGTTAAGTACGACGATCAGATATAGTACTCTAGAACTTTTCTACTTTTAGGGTGGATTTGATAATATGCTGTTGGCTAAAGCATACTTCTGTCAAGCTATTAAATTAAACTCCAATAATATTAGAGCTCTGTATGGTTTATTGTTGGTATGTTTATTAAAAGTTATCCAAATATTGATATTTACACAAATTTTTACAGCGATGAATTCTTATTTTGATAATTGTTTACGCAGACAACAAATAACATAGCTTTGTCACCAAAGTGTCCTGTGTTAAAGAAAAAAGAACTGATCAAGTTGAGTGAGTGGGCTGCAAACGAAATTGACAGGCAATACAAAAAAAAATCTCCTGCCGAAGATAAGAACATCAAATGTATAGAAGGACTACTATCGCAACTGCAACTTGAAGCATAAAATGTTTGTAAATTTCAAATAGGGAACAAAATAATTTTGCAAAGATATAACTAATTAGATTTTTCAAAACATTTATATGTTTACATTAGCAAATTATTATTTATCAGGAAAAAACATGAAACTTATCACTAAATGTTATGTGTCTCATTAATTAATAAAGTGAGTTTTAATACTGTTAAAATTTTTGCATTATTTTAGGATAAAAGCCTAACCTTACCCTCGCATCCAATAGTAACCTATGATGAAAAAAAATACTGTGTGTGTACCAGAGATTAAACTGTGTAACTACATTTCCTTAAACAACTATTATTTAAATAAGTAAATTAACAGTATTATTTCACAGATAAGTAATGTTATTAGAATAATATTTGAAGACCGTAATGGGACCTCTTCAGGACTTAGTTTCTTGTAATATAATAGGTAAATAACTGTATTGTTGTTTGTAAACAATGTGTTGATATCTGCTGATAAGATAGCATTATTACAATGGAAAAAATATATTCAAATTTATTGTAGTTTGTAATTAGCCTACGTGCAATAATTAGAATTGATTTTCCAATAATTTATTTTAGAGAAAGACACAAATGGTGATACATTATGGGTGTGGAACTATCCAACAGTTGTAGAATCAGAAAAAGATGTAATCATGAGAAAGTATAATTTTCAATCAGAACATAACAATGTTCAATCCTTTATATTCTCTAGACATGGGCAGTATTGGTTTTATATATGTAATAATGAAGCTGCTGATGCAGAAAAGTTGCCTAAAGTAATATTCTTCATTTGACCATTTCTACTCTATCTGCAAAAATTGTTTGTAAAATGTATCAATTACAAAATTTTCAGGTCAAACAGTTTGCTATAATCCTTTTGTCCAAAGAATATTGCCCTCAAAAGTACGAAATACTTTGTAAGATATTTAGTAAGTCTTATAATAGGAATGGAAATCCATTAGAGATTTTAAAACTTTATTTAAGTGCATTTGTCAAAGGATCATTTGTAACAGACAATGAAGTCTTCCAATCCAATGATTTTAAAGCATTGCCATTTGGTTCGAGCACCAATGTCAAGGGGTTAATTAAAGTATTTGAATTAGAAACAATACTAATATACACTGCACTTTTATTGAAAAAAAGAATAATTGTATATCACCATAGTTTAGAACAATTGCTAAAGTGGATTAAAACATTTCCTGCTCTGATGAAACATAGAAAAGTAACTGATGTTCTGTTTTCATGGGTAGATTTAGTCCAAGATGAGCTAAGTGAACTAAAGGTAGTACTTAATTTTTAATGTTTAAAAAAAATTCGATGAGTAAGTGCAATTGTTTGATTCCAGAAACACTCTTTTTACGTTGCTGGCTTTAGAGACAGCGCAATTTCATCAAGATCTGAGTTGTACGATTTATTTGTTAATCTTCCAGCAAGAGAAATCATTGTTGCTAATCATGCAAAAGGTTAATTATTTTTGTTAGTCTTTTTTTTCAACTTAGGCCCGGTAATAAAAATAGCAATACATATCTAAGTTGTTTAATACTTTGCAGAAAGTCTAACAATGACAAAAACCCACAAAGACATTGCACTATTCATGGTCCAACTTAGTGAAAACCAATCGCTTGCAGAGTCACAAGTAATAACAGAAATAGCTGACAAAACTCAAGATCTTTTAAATCAGCTGAGAACACTTGCCACTGTTGAAACTCCAGAGGGAGAGAAGAAAGTTCCCATTCAAGCAATCAAGGAAAAAAATCTAGCAACGTCCGTTGAAAACTTTCTAATTAATCTCGCAGTTGCTGAAAATCTCCTCATAATGTGATGTTCTATTCGATGTGTTTAAAACTATTTTCTCACCAAAAATATTTTTCAATCGCAAAATTGTACACCGAAATATTGTTATTAAAAAATCTTTTGTACATAAAAATGAAAAAAATATTTTCATTCAAAATGCTTTTGATGTTCGAATTGACAAAAATATAACTGTCCATGCAATTTACTCATTGTATTCAAATTCCTAATATTGAATTCTGTTATACCCCGATTTTTTTAGCTGGAGCGCGTTTTATTAATTCTGATGTTCAAATACGCATTATACGGTTGAAATTTAAAACTTTAAATAGTTTAGCCCCAAAAAAATAGTAAAACTAAATTCTTATGACTTTATGTCATTTGTAATTTAAATAAATTATCTGGATTTTATCGTAAGGTAACTAAACAAAGCCAAAATTTTTAATTGAAAAATTTATTGTAATTCGATAAAAACACTCGAAAGTAGTGCTCTTTAGGATCTTATTATCACAGTTAACTTACAACTATCAAGTGATTATGATTCATGCGCATAGAAAAATTAAAAAATTTCGTTTTATAATTGATAAATAAAATAACATATAAAGTACCATGTTTAATTCAGTCCATCACTATTTTTGTAAGAGTATGCAAAAATTTCTTCTGTCAACCACCAGTTTCGTAAAGAATTCCTTTAATTTTTATCATTAACAAGTACAATATTTTATTGAAATTAGTTATCTATCCATTGTATTGCTTTTAAGATAATCGGAGCTGATCATTGAAAGTAATTAAATATTCAATTTAGATGTATAGTTAATAATTTTGTGATGATTTCTGTACATGAAAAACCTAGAAATCAAAAGTAAATGAAGCCTCAGAAAAAACGAGTTTCATATAGTTGTTTCAACATAAAAATGATACTTTCTCCCAAAGTGCGTGTGTGCTACTGGAGGCTAATAGTTGAATTTGCAGTTTTTAGATGTGTGAAATGATTGATATTTTATTTTTATTTTTTAAAAACTTGTGAAAAATCTTTTAATTTTATGTGCAATCTACAACACGAAAAGTACGCCGCATCATTAAAAAACACTTGTATGGCATACAAAAATTATTGATGAGTAATAAAAAGTGTCAGAAGTTTAAACAATAAAATTAAAATTTTCAATAATATACAGTTACTATAATTAAAATCCTGCTATAGTGTTTTGATGATCAAACTCCTTCACAACGACGAACAAATTCAGATGAAAGTTTGTGGTAACCTGCAGTCACGGATTTCATGGTGGTCAAAGTAGATGTACTTATGTATTATATTAACCAGCTTTAAAGTACTTAATAACCTGCAAAATTAAAAAATTAAATGATCAAAACAGTTGAACTATCAATTCTATTTGATACGTTTGAATGTAAAAATTTAGAATGAATTTTTACTTTGCATTTTTCTAAAGAAGTAGCCATCTACGTACCATTAAAATATTCCTTAGGTGCTTAATTTTATACTGTCACTCTCCTGCCTAATTTTACTACTCATAATTGACACAAGTGAAAAATCATTTGATGAGCACAGATGCACTTTGCTACAGACTTTATGTGGACCATCCTTTATGAAAATATTAATGATATTCTGTTCGTACGCTTTCAACATTGTTGAGCACTGTAAATTAAAACGTGCACATAAATTGTACAATAAATAGATAAGTACTTGGACGGTAGAAAGATCGAGCCACTTACTTTTTTTTGTTCTGCTACTGGAACGTTTTGACAAACTTTACTCAAAACCTCATCTAAATCTTTTATTTTTGGATCTGACATAAGTTTTTCAATATTTGTAACAATAGAGTGGCATAAAGCACATTCAGCCACAGATTCTGAAATTTAAGAAAATTAGGTAAAATTCTTCTCAGCCACACATAGTTATACTAATTATTCTACCGTGCAGAGTATTAGGAAAAGAGCACTTTATTAAAAACGTTGCCAAAGATGCATCCACAGGAGAAATATCTATTAGGGATGTAGAGGTTGTTAAGACTATTGAAAATTAAACAAGACCACTATCAAAAAATACTGGTTTTATTAAATAAAAGCATTATTAAATTATCACTGAGATTAGTAAAAGTAAAAAATTCCATTATTTTTTCCATTCTCACACCATAATTACGGAAGGCTGATACATGCGAGCCATTGCTTTCAGTTCAGAGTTACTATATTCAGAATCATCTGATTCAGAAACAATACCTTTCAGATTCTCGGTTGCAGTATCGGACTTGCACAAACCGACAATTTTACAAATTTCTAGTGGACTAACTTCTTGAGTTAAAAGATCAATCACAATTTCACCATAGTCGTTTACAAATTCGTTACACTTGATGGATATCCCAGGAAGATAATCACAAACTTCGTGGAATATATGTTCGATTTCTTCTTTTGATTTATGGGTGGCTAACTTTTTCTCCACGTAAGCCATTACTTTCCTACAAATCACACATTCAGTGTCCTCTTCAAGATTGGCGATGCTAGTGTCTTCTTCGAGATTGTGAATATCAGCAGGTATTAGCTGATAGGTTGGATAGTCTGGAATCTCGTTTGTCACTGGAAAAATAATTTTGCATAATAAACTTTTTGAATATAGATATATATGAGTGAAAAGAACAAGAAAAATATTTGTTCATTTTACTTATTTGGCCATCCTTGTCCAACGGGAAGAAAGTAATCGAAGGTTTAACATCTTGAGAGCTTTCACAAATTTTGAGATAAACACAGACTTCCGTAGGCGTGAAATCGGCTATCATTGCATCAATAATATATGCACTGTATTCATGAACAAAGTTTTCACACTGATCCACTAATGATTTTGACAGGTGAGTGCACAAATTTTTCAACGCACCTTCTATGGTTTCCTATTTTGTAATACGATCATTTAATTTATGAATAAGGACATATTTTAAATGTTACTTTAAATTAATGATAATACCTTAGTTTTGTTGTTTTTAATGACGTTCTCCAACTGAGTGATTCCTAACAGACAAAGGGGACAGTTAGGTTTTTCTCCATAGTTGTTAGCAATATTCTGAGATTCCATTTTCTTGTATGATTCAAGTAACTGAGCGGATGGACACACATGAATCATCGGACAAATTTGAGAGGGATCGATTTCTTGAGCGATGATTGCTACCAATGCACTAGCATAGTCGGCTACAAAATTGTTGCAATCGTTTTCGATTGATTTTGGTAGCTTTTTGCAAACGTTCTTAACAATATGTTCCACCTCGTTTTCAGCTTTCGGGTCAGTGATAGCTTTTTGAATAAAATGCAACACTCGTTGGCACAGCAAACATTTCTGTTTACCTTCCAAATCATTCTTTGGTACAGCATCGATCTTATCACCAATATGTATTTCATGCCTCTTGATTGTTTTCGATGGCTTACAAAGCTTTAACGTTTCGCATATTTCTTCGGCTGACATATCTTTAAGCAACATTTGAATGAGCTCTTTACTGTACACTTTCACTAAATCAACGCATTCTTCTTTTAAATTTTTGGGCATCAGCTTCAAGCACAACTTATCCAAAGCGGCTTGAATATCTTCCTAGAAGTTACCGAGATAAAATTAAATTAATAACAATAATTACTTTAGCTTCTACAAATAATATTCAGGGTTATTACTTCTGTTTTGTTGTCTTGAATATACTCGTATATCTTTGTAACAGCCAACTTGCATAAAGGACAAGAACTTTCACCTTTCGATGATTTTATTTTCATTTCATCAGGAATTTGTTTCCAGGCTTCGATTTGCTGATTGGTTGGGCAGACAGCAACTAACGAGCAAACCTGAAAATAAATTTACTTTAAATTTATTTAAAATGCATCATTTTATCAAAAGTAGAAAGGAAAAAATCAAATACCTCTGAAAAGTCTTTTCCTTGGGAGATCAATTCAATCAATGCTTCTTGATAATAGTCCAAGAATTGTTTTTCTTGATCCTTAATTTTTTGCACGTTTTTAGTAATACTCTTCATTCCAACAAAAACAGACCTTATTTCGTTCTAAAGCGATAAAAACGCATAATATATTTATATGAATATATTTTCTAAATTCATAATACATGAATACTTTCTAAATTCAATGAAAGATTGTATATTTTTACGCACCTTATCACGGATGTTTTTGACGTTCTTTTTCACGTGATGTATTATAAATTCACAAGTAGAGCAATAAGTATCATCGATAACTGGGAAACCTGGAATGCTTATTCTGTCCAAAGGTAATTGCATCTCATTGGATTTCATAATTTCAAGAGCGTAATGGGCATGTTTTGGAGGAACTAAAGGCCATATCGGTCCTAACTATAAATTTAAATTGAAAATGTACAAATTAAAATCAAAAAAATATGAATACTAATAATTTTAAACCTTTTTGTCTGGTGCTGGACATAAGCTAGCCATTTGGCAGACGGCATTTCCATTCAGATTTTTGGTAAGGAACTCGTAGATCTCTGGATAGTAATTGTTAACAATAGATTTACACTCATCAGCAAAGCGTCCGGTCTGTTTACAAATTCCACGAAGTACTTGCAGAAACTCAGTCTCGGTAGTATTGGCGACCAACAGATCTCTCAAATGGCCAACCAGCTGTACACAGAACTTACAAGGCAAATCATCGCTAATATCAACCTTTCCAACACTGGATAGCGGTCTAATTTCAACAGCAAGTGGCTGAAAAGGTTTAAGTAAATTTATTTAACACAAAAAATCGTATGTGATAACCAATAGTAGAATATTTTGCAACACCCAATGTTATTGTATAATGGCTGAAATTATACTACTGAAAAAATGATAGCATAAATATTTTACTTTATTTTCATCTTCATGAACGTGGAATCTGTCAGAGCACTGACCCGAAAGGTGACAAATATTGTTGGCATTAAAATTACTCTTAATGTGGTTGTAAATTGTTTCAAAATATTTCAAAATTATCGCAGAACAGGAATCTGAAAAAGAACTAAGTTCTCCACATATTTCCAGGAATCGATTAAGAACTTGATCTTTTGTCGCCTGGTTAAGTTGATCTTCCATGTGGTGAGTAATTATGTAACACTTTGAACACTCGTCAGGACGGTACTCATCATTAGCCAAAGATATTTGTCCCTCAGTCATCTGAAATATTAAAATAAAAAAGATTATTTGTAGAATTTAAAAATAAGTATTACCGTACAATGTAATATATGTAATTAAAGTAAATTGATTTTCTATAAAGGTATCTGTGTAACACAGAAAATTAAATTACTTTACAAAAAATTTGTATGTACTGTTGTATTACCATGTGTTATTTTTAGTAAAAAAAACTTCGCAAAATAAATTACCTTAACAACAGGTTGATCTTTGTACTCTTCCAAAAGTTTATCAATGCGAGCGGAATTACAAAGCCCAGCGACAGAGCAAACAACTGAGGGATTCATTTGCGATGCCAAAGTCTCGACCAAATCCGGAACAAACTGATCGACCAGTTTATCACATTCTTCAACTATTGGTTTTATATGAATTAAAGCACATGTGCCTTCAAAAACATGCTTCAAATCCTCTTGAGTTTCATTGCTTTCAAGTTGGTCGCGTGCTTGCTGGACCATGTTTTTACAAATGTTACAAACATTATCATTGTCCTCCGGCACCTGCATGCTTATCCATTTGTGAGGAATGCAATATGATGTTGCACTGCAACATCCTGAAGTACTAAACAAAAAAGTTTCGTCAGTTTCCAAAATGTAAAGCAAGTAATTGAAAATTTTTTTGTAATAATGTACTTATAGTTATGTAAAAAATTTTGAAAATATAGTGGTTTGTTAAATAAATCAAATAATGAATATGATTTCGAGCAGTTTGAAAAGATTTTTTAAACAAATTGGATAGAATTATTGTAGTATAGTAAATTTCATAATTCTTACGTGATATTTTGGCACCAATATGATGGGCCATCCATACAATCCTTGGAGCATGCTCGATGCGCTGTTTTTAGTTTTACGGGATATAATATGCTAGCCGATGTTGCTGATAAGATAAAAAAACACATCATATGAATTGAAATTCTAGACAAAAAAAATTTTTTTTTTTTTTTTCGCTTGGGACAGAATAGTATTTTTGCCAGTTTGAATAATGAAAAATGATAGTCTTATGTTGGAAAGAAAATTCACTTTCTCTATCGAAAAAATTAAATATAAAAGCGCAAGGAGTGGAGAAGTACCTCATCTTTTTTTTCTAAAGAGCTCGTTTTTTGCCTGAAGTGTTAGAATAACTCACATACATTCATATCGTGCTATAAAATCTAATTAAAAATTAGGGCGTAAAAAAACATAATAGCACTTTAACATGCAATACTGATTTAAAATAGTACTCTCGTAAACAAAATTCTAACCAGATGAATAGTTTGTTGTTAAAGTTTAAATTAGAAACAAAAGAATAAAAAATAACTCTTCTGCCGAAAAAACATTTAAACAATAATTTGGAGTGTTATTTTTAACAAAAGTCACTGAGAGACAAGACAGTTCTAAAAATACTAGTTTCAAAGATTCGTGACACAATATCTCGTATTTTTTCTGTATCTCGTTACGATGTGAAAGTTCATTAAAATGAGACAACTGGTAATCACCACGCGACTCATCTCAGCTTTACTTCATCCATCTCGAAGCGAAAATGTTAAAGAAAATACTGTTGTTGTTGTTGATTCGCTGTTTCGAGTTTCGACTTCATAATTATGTAAACAAATCAGTTGAAACGTGTATTTACATTTATAGCTTGACCAACAGGGAAAAAACCACGTTTGGTACCTTATAAGAATATAAAAGGCAAAAGTAACGCTTGAGTCATAGTCACAGCTTTAATGTTTAGAGAGAGAAAGAGAGCTGAAGTATTTAGCTGCACGTATAACGTATGTGTAGGTAATGTGAATGTGACCCTCGCTGCAGTTGCGTTCCATGAGTAACTGCTCACTAAAAGAGCTGATGTCCGAGAGAAACATATTTATCTGAACACTGAGACTCGATACAATTGAAACAGAAAAAAGCAAAGCTCGTATTAATAATGATCCCGCATATTTAGCTCTTGGAAGCCAATCACCGCATATCTTCCTTCTCAATGTTTCATTTGAAGAAAACATTATTTATCAAAGTTTCGTCAGCCCAAGTTTCTATCTAGCACACGCAAAGCAAAAACGTTGACATATTCGTACAGTCACGTATCTTCTTTGAAAATAATAATAATAATAGAAAATAACAAAAACCCATGCAATGTCTTCATTTTTCATTGGAAACGACAATGTGTATAGGTATCAGACTTAAAATCATCCGACCTGATGAATTGGAGCTCCTCTTTCTCTCTTATCATTCATAGGTATTGGTCATACGATTCTGGTTTGATAAAGTTAAATAAAATATTGGCGATTTAAAAGGTAAAAAGTCTTTGATGAGCCGGAGGGAATAATGCAATTAAGCGTGAATTTGAAGGAAAAAAATCAAACAAAGAAATAATAAATTCGGTAAAAATACAATCGGATAATAGAATAAAAGGCCATCTGGTACGATCGTATTATGCTGAAAAATATTATCAAGTAAATAACGAGTAAGCGTTGTTAATAAAATGCTCAAAAATTGATGTTTAGAATAAATAATTTTATAGTCGAGGTACGTTTAGAATGAAAAATATTATTAACAATAGCGAGTAAATAGACATAGGTCTAAATGTATTAGTCATGTGTATATAAACACAGAAGCATACTGTGACAAGGAAAGTTGATGAGCCATCTGTTAAAAAAAATCTTTCATCGATAAAAATAATTTCTAAAAAAATACATGCACACTCATTGGTGATACGTAATCGTATAAATTGATGTATGCCACAGAATTAGATACTAAATGGTACTAATCTCAACAAAGAAAGCCTAGCTAGATATCCACAAACTCTTTTTTAATGAGTTTGGGCTCTTCTCTCCGTAAAAAATTTTGACTACATAGTATTGGACCATCTAAATTCTGAATATGACAATATATTCTGATGGTGCCAGAGCGATGAAAGTAAAAAATTTGTCGTGTCATTGGTTAAGTATACTTTGTGATAGTTTGCATATAAAATCACTCAAAATATTTATGTTGCCGTAGCTCGAACCTCAATTCAGCGATCACCTTTAAAAAATCTGTATACCAATTCCAACACACTTGTTTAAAAATATAACGCGTATTACTCACACATTGACGGCGTAAAAACATAATGAAAGAGTAATTTACGTAAAGGTATATCTATAAAAACCGTAGTTACTAACAATGATACTCGCATTTTTCGTGCAAAGAAAAGGTGTAAGAAAAAGCAATACACATTCACTATCAGGTATCAGCAAATCCATGTTATTGCACGAATGAATAAATGGATGTGGTTATATGATATCGTATAGTAGATGCTTAGGTGATCGTATACAATAGGAAACTCTGAGAATTGCACTCTTGGGGTGAAAAAAGTATCAATTGAAACTACGAGATGATGACACTTACCAGTCAGGACGGTGCAGAGCACAAAGGCGACGGTTAGTATTTTTCTTATCGTCGACATCCTGGGAGGAGCGAAAACGCTTTCGCTCGCAACTAATTAATACCTATTCCGAGCTTTTTTGATTTGGAACTGTTCTGAAAGTACTTATACGTTAGTCGAACGATGAGTAATGACGACACTGCAGAGAAGGAAAAAATAATGCGCCTCAAATCTCTATCTCTGATGCACTGTTTACGTATACTGTTTCCACTCATCCGGTTGTTTGTCCCCTGGGCGTATATCACGTTCTATTCACCTTACTAAGAGTATAAAGTAGCGCCTCTCCTGCTCACATCTGAAACTGTCTAAAAGTATATAAGTAAACTTCAAAAGCATTGCTAGTATAGGACAAATATCTGTACTGTCTTCTTTTACTAATGTTCCATATTACTTAGCTGCTTCAAATTACAAGATATGTAAACTAGAACTCTTATTTAATACGGAGTAGTTTTTTTACTGCCAATACATCTGCGGTAGTTGAGTGAAAGAGATGTTTATAACGTGAGTCCAGGGCCGTGTACATTAAAATGTATATCTATATGTAAAATATACATCTCAGCTGTAGCATGAATAAGGTGAGAGTGTCTTTCAGCACTGCTCATCGAAGCAACTCGGAGAGTTGTAGATACAGATATAAATTTTAATGCTCGTGGCGATGGACCATAGAATAAACGTCCTTTTTACACAACTACCACAGATGAATCGATGGTCAAAATATTACTCCGTAATAAAGATAAGTTCTACTTTACATATTTTGCGATTTCAAGAAATTAAGCAACGTAAAACATTAGTTAATAAAATGATTCGGACATTCGTCCTATACCAGCAATGCTTTTGATGTTCGTTCACGTACATTACACCAGTTTTAGTAGTGTCCAGAGGAGGCGCTACTCGTACCCAGGTGGATCGTTGGTTTAATGCTTTATTTGTCGACTTTGTTGTGAACCGAACAAAAGCGACGACGTAAGAGTTACTGTCACTGCGCTTTGCTGTTAGAAATACTAATGACTGCTGAAATACCCCAAAACTGCGCGAATTTTTAGCGAGATTACTTGAAAACCACATGCTTGAAATAAAACACAAATACTTATCTAATAAACCTTTGAACAACGCATTCTATAATCTAATAAACAAATCGGCATTTGTCTCATGAATTTTAAAAATGTGAAATTTTTCAGCTATATACGACTAAAACAAACCATACAAATCTACCAATTCAGGAATATTTTTGATGTTTTTGTAAAAGAAAAGCTTCTCACATTGATAGTTGTAGAAACATTAGAAAATTAATACATTGGCTCTACTCTCTTGATCACTAAAAGTTAAAATTAATTAATGGACACATAACGATAATGACATTTTAGTCACCTCTTTTTTTTCTACCTTGAGTTATCAAAATAAATCTTTTAGTTTCATTCTGAAACTAGTATTAAGAAAATAACTTTTATAATAAATAATGAAAAAAAATCTTTACGAAAATGTTTATACATAAGCTACCTTTTACAATACTTTACAAGATACCGGTTAAAAAAAATAATTAAATGTCAGGGATATAATTCGAGTGTTAAACAAAAGTTGATTCATCTGCACGGTTTTTTTAAATTCATAAGCAGAGTTTGGTAATGAATCATCCACATGAGTACCGAATAAGATAAAAAGGGGTACTATGATACTTTAATATATTTGATAAAGAACGGAAGTGAGCTATAGATGTATATAAAGCAACGTAAAGTAAGGAGTTAAAAAAATACTCCTTTTTATTGACGCGTCAATTTCGCCGAAAGAGAATAATCAAACATAGTAGAGTAAAATTATATATGATGGTTGTGGAAGCAATAAAACTTAATTTATTGAAACATGTTAGTTAGTAGCAGCACATGTATTAATTTTCATTTTGATTGGATGTCAATTACACAAGTAAACGCGATTTTAATGGTAAAAATATTATAAAAAAAAAGAAAGCTTATGTTTGCACGTATGTAACATAGCCCTTAAGATATACGCAAAAATTGATTTATTATAATTCGTTTAAAAATTGTGACAAAGATTTTTATTTTTAGTAGACTTCTAACAGTTTTCTTTCGTCGAGAAAATAGTTTAAATTTAGATTTAATTCAACGGTTCAAGTTGTCACGAAAAAGAATAGTAGACTTGGTTTGGTAAATTTACATTTTGGACAAGGGTTATTGGTGTTACTGTGTTATGTCACTATTTTTGTATGAATTATTTTACTGGTTTGATTTTAACTAACACGTATATTTTTCATAGATTTATATTAATATGAATCCCATAATCAAGATGCAGAGGCATCGTGGTCTCATGCAAGCGATCAGTTGGTGTCTCTACATCTGTTACAGATCAATTAATTAGCTATTTTTATCTATTGATCTTCCAACAGATCCTGAACGTACTCTTATTTTTTTATTTTCTGTCATGGGAAAAAAAGAACATGTGATGGTTTTCGACATAACAATATGTGATAAAATTAATTACTTGAAAAATTTCTTTTTAAATTGTCACAACTTTAAAGTATGGCAGCTAATGTACATGCTAAGAAAAAGAAAACTGTGCTATCGACTGCATACTCTTAGGTTTGGATATTCAACAGATGTCATTAGTTACCATTTGTGTATGTGTATATATATATATGCGTGTGTGTGTGTGTATGTGTGTTGCAAATAGTGTATGATAACATTTATTAGTTTCATTAAGTTGTTTCTTCAATAAACAAATGATAAGATAAAATCTTGATTTTCTTTGTTTTAAACAAATATTTGAAAAATTACATGTTTTTTGAACTAGACTGGTTAGATTCTGCTGCCTTGCCAGCTGTTTCCGTGGTGTAGTGGTTATCACATCCGCCTAACACGCGGAAGGTCCCCGGTTCGATCCCGGGCGGAAACATTTTTGGAAAATTTTTTCTTGTAAAAATTGAAAATCTGTTATTTTATATCTTACTCAAGTGAAGCAGTTACATTCAGGTTACGAGGTATGCAATTATGCATAGATTACTTGCACGTAATAATAATCATTGTAATATTTCTACACATTCAGAAGCTTTACCACCAGTTATTAGCTGCTTCTAAAATTCTTTCCTGCCAATTTTGAGTCAGCGTAAGTAAATCATCACCAACAGAAAATCAGAATAGAAACCGTAAATTTTTGTAGCTTGATAGACGGAATCGTAGACCAACCGATTTACCAATTATTAATGATTAGACTCAACTTGAAGATGATATCAAGCAGTTCCGTAAAACGTGTATGAATTCTATTATAGACGCCTTTTTAAGTGGGTGCCCACTTCAGAATAAAACGCAAGTCTTGGCATAATGGTCATATTAAAACAAAAATAAATGATCTGGTTTCCACTACTGTAAACTTTTTTTTGTTTTCCAAATTCACACTATTTATGTGCAAAAAATGATACTAAGAAAGGGAAAATATCGACTAAAGACTATTTCAACTACAATGTCCACACTGAAAAGGTCCCTCGTATCATGGTAACAGATCCATCAAGCTTTGGGCCATCCATACAATATGTTGGGTGACCTACATGTGACTGCAGTCTATAAAATATAGAAATAGCAAAAACTCTTTGTTTTTTTTTCATCCTAGATTAGTCTTTAATATATACATCATTATTTTTAGACTTAAAAATTACCGCGTACCATTTTTTGATCGAACATTCGAGCTTTTTCAACTTCCGAGTTATCGATTTCACGAGTGAAATTCAAGAGTTTCCTGAGAGGGAGCGCTATGAACTTACATTAGATCAGACCATTCTTTCTGTCTGTTCAAATTCAAAGGAAAGAATTAAAGTAAGTCACTGTCTGATCTTAAGAAATTTTTTATTAAAAATTACTGCTAAAAAAATGATTGTTCGAAAACTTTGACACTCCTATTTTTGCATCCCTAAAAATCAACAGATTTACTTCAATTTTCCGCAACTTCTTTATTTTTTTTAAACCACGCCACGTGGTAGACGCTTCGTAGGTTAGCGTGACCCTTTATCCTTGCACACTGCAAGTATTACTAGAAATTTTAAAAATAAGCATCCACGAAACCCGTTCTATTACTTTAAATTAAAGTTTGATACCTAAAACACTATGAAATTCGAAACATTTTTTTTTTTAATTATTAAATTCTTAGTATGGCGGACGCAGCTCCAGCCCAACGTGGCGGTTTTCGAGGAGGGTTCGGTTCACGTGGAGGTGGTGGACCAGGAGGACGTGGTGGTCGTGGAGGACGTGGTCGTGGTCGTGGTCGCGGACGTGGCCGCGGTAAAGAGGATTCCAAGGAATGGGTGCCCGTGACCAAGCTTGGGCGCCTTGTTCGGGACGGCAAAATCAATTCGCTTGAGGAGATTTACCTCTTTGCTCTGCCCATTAAAGAGAGCGAAATCGTCGACCACTTCATCGGGCCCCAGCTCAAAGATGAGGTGCTGAAAATTATGCCCGTCCAGAAGCAGACGCGTGCCGGTCAACGCACTCGCTTCAAGGTAATTTTTTTATTTCTTTTTTTTCTTTATAAAGTATCTACCCTCATTTCTGATCAAGTCCCTATTTTCTAATTATTTTTCTGTTTAAAATAAAACTACATGGTACGTTTTATTTTAAGAAAATATTGAGAGTTCAAGCTATATTTTGGTATAATTTGACAAACAGGTTTTAATCATGCAAAGTTGATTAAAAATTGGGCCTTAAGTGATCAGAAATAGAAACAGTCCTTACTGTTCGCATTCGTTAATAAACGGTTGTAATGTAAATTTTCATTTTCTCAAAGGCCTTCGTCGCCATCGGTGACAGCAATGGTCACATCGGCTTGGGTGTCAAATGCTCCAAAGAAGTAGCCACAGCCATCCGAGGTGCCATTATTCTGGCCAAACTGTCGGTCGTACCAGTACGCCGAGGATACTGGGGTAACAAGATCGGTAAGCCTCACACGGTGCCCTGTAAGGTCACTGGCAAGTGCGGCTCGGTCCAGGTGCGCTTGATTCCAGCGCCAAGAGGTACTGGAATCGTTTCCGCCCCAGTTCCCAAGAAGCTCCTACAGATGGCCGGTATCGAGGACTGCTACACCTCGGCTAGAGGCAGCACGTGCACCCTGGGTAACTTTGCCAAGGCCACCTATGCCGCGATCGCCAAGACTTACGCCTACTTGACGCCCGATCTATGGAAGGAAATGGCCCTCACCAAGACTCCATACCAGGAGTTCGCCGATCATCTGGCCAAGAACCACAAAGTCGTCACTGGCCCACGAACCACCGAAACTGTCTAAATGTTGTACAAATTTCCGAGCATAAGATCGATCGAGAAATAAATTTCCTTTGTCGTCATCATCATCATCTTATAAACTGTGTTATTATTTACGTTTTTTAAGCCCAATATGTTTCTGCTATAACGACTACAACGTTGAAAGTAAATGAAACACCTGAACAATTAAAAAAGGCTGGAATATTAATCTTTCTCCTTATTGCTTGAACTATTTCTATAGGCACACATACGTTTTATTCGAGGTGCTTCTAAGCAATCTATTAATTTTTATACAATTATTATTTTCCAGCACTTTTCTGGAAATTTTTCGTAAATATTTTTGTTACAGTAAGTATATTTATGAAAAAATTAATCGTCGAAAAACATTTTTTTTATGAGAGCCTGTACACAAGGCACCCTATCCTTTAAGTATGTACGACACCAACCACCCGAGCCATCTTAACGACAATTAATATATTGCAACAATTATGTAATACTCGGAAACAAGCCACGTGCTACTAAAGATATTCTAATTTTGAAATAATGCTCAATTTTTAGTGTATCCATTTAAGTAGTAAGATTTGTTCAGGGAGCTTACAGGTACTCTGGGGTCTCCATCGAGATAAATTTACATTTCAATATGTAGCTGTATATTAATGTATAGAGGCCTCTAAAGTCCACTCCGAATTTTTAATTCACTACTTTTTTAAATTTTGATTACATTTTTTATTATTTTTTGAGTACGAAGACCATTTGTAAAATTGCACTGAAAAAAATTTCGTCCATTCTAATAAATAGTTAATACAAATAAAAAAAATTAAAATTTCTTTAAAA